GGCTGGTTGTCTTCCTGTGTTCTTCCAAGTCAGTCTTCTCATGAACTAGTTCCCAGCAAAGAATCAACAGTGTGTAGGTGGTGTAGACCACAGACCTTTCTACGAAGAGGACAGTCCCAGATTTGAAACCACAATCAGTGTTGTTTAATGTCACAGAACTAACCCATCTTTTCATTTCCCCTGATTGCAGAATTCTGGTAAATTACTAGGGAGGCTTTCCGGTTTCCTGATTAAGAATGTTCACCGCATCGCCTTACTTATGTTCCTGTCTTGGCCGCACGTGCCACTTCCTACTTTGGTTTATGGCTTTAGCTGTGGGCTCAGTCTCTACACCACCTGGCCTGTGGGAGTACTTTCACTCCTGGATGGAAGTGGACTCGTGCAGAGTTTTGAGGCAGCTGAAATTATGACAGACCCAGGTCCATTGAAAGTGTTAGACCACACAAGCAGTATACACTGAACAGAAAGAAACCTACGCCAAACACAACTTGCTAGACATTTTTAAGTAAAAAAATGACATTTCTTCCACCAGGGTCAAGATGCAGAAAGGCAAACTAGTTTGTAACAGTTCACTGATTTATTTAGTACTTACCCACACTAGCAGACATCATGTTTGGAAGGAGCTGGCTTTGTGAGAGATTTCAGCTGAGACCCCTCTTCCTTGAGCATCCCATGCCTGACCTGCGGTGGCTCACCTCAGTCTTCACGCCAGAAGCTCACTGGGGCTTGGTGAACACTTTTAGGACAAAAGATGCCATTGTCTATTTGCCTCCCATGGAAGAAATCCTTAGTCTCTCTCTCTCTCGCGTGCGCATTTTAACCGCTGTAGACTCTTTGCTTTCCATTCAATCCCCTGTGCATTTAGGAAAATTTTCTTTTTCTTTTTACTCCAGTGGATTAATGGTAAAATTAACTCCCACAAGTAGAACAAGTCAGTAGCAGGAAATAAAATTAGCATACAAAAATCAATACCTTTTATATATAGAATTACAAGTTAGAAGATACAATGGCAGAGAAAACATCTTACTGGCAACAGTACTTTGATTGATAGATTGGGTCACAAAGTCATCTACTGTGTATGTCCCCTCCTATAATGCATCTGGTTTTAATCACATGTACACACAATTATGCATAGCTTGGTGACAAATGCCTTTCACCTGCTGACCCATCACCACTTTTAAAACTCCCAATTGATCTGCATGTGCACACAGGGCTAAAACCCCGCTTCAACAAAAAAACAGAATTTAAAGACAGAGTAGGAGCCATACTTCAGTGGTGGGCAGGGGTCCAGAGTTGAAGGAGGGGTATTTTGTTTGAAGGGGGGTAGTTTCTGAGCATATTAAAAATGCAAAAATGTCTATAACAAGAGGCTATTTATAGCTAGCCCGAGCAATGCAGAAAACACAAGAACTGAGGGCAACAGACCTGGGCAAGACAGGTCCACAGGTACTCGGGTTCTGAGAGGAAGTGTGGTTGAGAGGGAGGAGGACGCTCTGCTAAGTAAGTCATGGGTGGGAGGGCAAGATTAGTTGCTGAGAGGCTGAGGTTAACAGGATTTGGAATGGCTGCTTTGCAAAAACCGCTAAGAGGAGGGGCACTGGCTGAGATCCTGGACAGTAGGAACTAAATGTTACCATGATGCTGGGGTGGCTTCAGCTCCTAGTTAAAAAAGCTACCCAGAAGCTAGTTCAAAATTATCTTCTGGGCTGGAGAGATGGCTCAGAGGTTAAGAGCACTGGCTGCTCCTCCAGAGGTCCTGAGTTCAATTCCCAGTAACCACATGGTGGTTCATAACCATCTATAATAAGATATGGTGCCCTCTTCTGACTTGCAGGGATAAATGCATACAGAACACTGTATACATAATAAAATAAGAAATAAATTTTAAAAAGTTATCTTCTTTCATTCTGCAATTTTAAACATCTGAAGATTCTACAAGGATCAGAACTACCTTTCAGAGAAAGAAAATATTTGTATTATTAAAACCTTAGAAAGCTTTTCCAATTGTTTGTTAAAAGACAAAACTTGCTATGTAGTTCAACCTAGAATCTTCCTGCCTCTGCCCTGCAATTCTGGGATCACAGGCATGAGCCACCATAAAGACACCCCTCCCCCCAAAGGCAGGGCTTCCCTGTGTAACAGACCTGGCTGTCCTGCTGGAACTCGTTCTGTAGACTAGGCAGGCCTCAAACTCACAGAGATCCACCTGCCTCTGCCTCCCAAATGTTGGGATTACAGGCAGTGGCCGCTGCAGCCACCACCACCACCACCGCTGCCGGGTGCAACAGGAGGTTTTAATTAACCTTTAAGCTAGGAAAGAGGACACATGCTGAGTCTAGGGATCCAGTGCTAGGCATTTTTCAGAACACCTTCCCGAATATAGTGAACTTCTTCATTACACATCTCTCTGGAAGGGAGAATTTGGGTTTGTGGGCTCTGGAGTAAGTCAGGACCCCTCTTAATTACTATGAATAAAAATCATCAAGTACAATGTCCATTTTTTCCGAAAGCTTCAAATGAGCTTATCATACTCTGAAGTGCTGACGTTGTAACTCAAACAAATCAGTGGGGCATTACTGTTGGGTTTCCAGCCTTCACACCCTATTAGTTGGGTGTAAAGCAGACATGAGAATGTGGGTGGACTGATATACTGAGATTACTAACCTCAGCAGATGCTTATGCTATGCCTGCTGAAGTATTGGTTCTTTTATTTTTTTCTGAATTATATATTAAAATGTACATCACTGTGCTAGAAAAATGTGTAAGGCTTTTCCTTAAACTGACTTCTGAACACATAAAACTCACAGGTGGCTGTATATAAGTACCATCTTATACTGATAACTGAAAAGTGACGGTCACTCTTGTTACACTTGGACTCCTGTGTCAAGTCACTTCCATCCTCTACTCATGGTCTCTATCATCCTTTCCCAGGCGTTTGCGAGGGAAACCCATGGGAACAAAGCCATTTTTTAAGAGTTTAGGCAAGGAATCACACACAAATCTGTCTTTGCCAAGGAGCCTGCTTAACTGGCAACACCTGTGCAGCCAAGGCTTCAGGCTGCATCTGGATCCCCTGCAGGGTTTGTTAGGCTTTGCTGGACCTCATTCCCAGGCACTGACTCAGTAGGTCAGACGCTGCTCCCCATGTGAGCATCTTCAACATGGTCCTCACTGCCCGGCTAAGGACCAGTCTGGGGCTCTACTCAGAGCACCCCTTTCCTTCCGTCTACCTAGGATGGCGCCCCTTTGTATCTCCAGAGTCCGCCTCACCTTTATACCACAGTGGAAAACTTTAGTTCCAAATCTGCTAATTTACCGAGAGATTTCCCCACATCCACGAGTATATTATCCTGCCTAAATTTACACTGCTAGGCTCCTTTTATAAAAACCTTACACTCCACACTCTTCAGCACTATTGTTCTTTTTCTTCCACATTGCCATTTCCAGGCATGGCTTTCCTCTTCTTCAGATTCTAACACAGGAGCGAATACCAAGCCATCTGTGTTTAGCACCTGCAGTCCCGCTCCTTGGCTTTGCTTCTCTTCCAAGGGGGTAGAATCACATCCTGACTATTGCTAGAAGTTGTAACTCTGCTAACTGCAGCAAAGGAAAATAAGGACATGGTGACGAGCAAAACTGGCTTGAGCAAAGGAAGAGGCTGACAAGAGTGAAATGCTTCCACTTCCCCACTGTCTAAGCTATGCCCCCAACAAGATAGCAGTCGTGTCTGCTAGAGCCAGCCGCTCCCCTCTCAGTTCAAACAAAGTTCTTAAGACACTGAAGACAGCTGCTGCTGAGGTGTATCCATAGATTCTGCCCAGGAAGGGGAGAAATAAAGCACATTGCTCAGAACCACAGCAATTATGCCAAAACAGAGCAAAGACCTTAAATGAGCCATGCATCCCCATAATTCTTTACCCAGAGCTGAAGAACCAGCTATGATCATGGTGGCCTGGCAGTTCCTCCTAGTACCTACAACTCTTAGTTCTCAGTGGCTTTGTGTTAACACAGGACAACACAGAACTTCCTAGACCATGGAAGGAAATTTTGGAGAGATTGAAAGAAAGGTAGATCTAGATAAATGATAGGCAGATAGATAGATGAATGATAGAGATGACAGATGATAGACACATACACAGGTAGGTAGGTATAGATGGACAGATATGCTCAGCGACTCTCATCCTCGAATGCAAACCTTAATAAATCTTTTTAGGACAGACAGTTAAATTACTCATTATACACATTGAACTTTAATTAAAAAAAAATCTCATTCAAAGGACCAAAGATTGAGACACTTTATTTACTTTGGGTCATCTGCTGTGAAAACTGGTCTTGTTTAAGAGCCAACACCAACGTCTCTCACTGCAACTGATCTCTAGAGAACTCAAGGCTTAACCACATGCCACTCAGGAAAATGATATTCTGTCCCTGTAAATGTAGCGTCACGAAAACAGCAATGACTTCCTCTTCCCAGCAGTTCTGACCAAAGAGCTATGCAGAGGTTTGGATACAAATGAAGCTCCTCCTTTAACTGCTGCATCTTAAAAGTAATCTCAAACCCCTTCAAACTCCTCTGCAAAGCTAACAACTTGTGAATGGACGTCATGCAAGTAGATAACACGTTTGTCTGTTTTAGAAAAAAAACACAACAGTGAAATTCAGAAACATCTGTGTAGTCTGCAAGGATTTAACAGAACTCAGAACCGTGGCTCTTGGCTTCATTAACTTCTCATATCCAGTGCATCCTTAAGGTCTGTCTGGTGATCTTCAATACTGACAACAAAACCGCACCTCTCCTTGAAAAGCAGATCTTAATTTATGGCATTATCCACTGTGTCATAAAAATGTTTAAATGTAAGGTTTAAAATACAGCTGATACTAGTTAGCCTCTGAAGCTGGTTGACAGAGAAATAGCAGAATAAATGGCTTCCCTAAGCATGTGTACCTTAAAATGAGCGTAATTTACAACCCTGTATTAGAAAGTATTTGTGCACTTAATATTCTATTTTCTCAGGTAAATGACTTTATTCTCATTCATTACAGGTAGATACTATAATCTTGGCTGATCCCTGTCAAAATTATTCAGAAATGTATAGAAATTCATGACCAAGAAAAATGAAACAATCATGAAAAAACATTATTGACATGGGTCTCAGACTGACCAGGGATACCAATGAGAAACACAGATTATATATATAACCCAGGGCAGAATAGCATCTAAGTCTATAGCTTGTTTGGGCTTACTCATGTGCCTGAATACAATATGCAAGTCTGCCTTTACCTCTGAAAATTGGCATGGCTTCAGAGAGATATTTAAAGTGTAAATAAATATGTATATATAAACTACTTTAAATCCCAGGTAGGAGAGGACGACCTGGCAATGGACCACAAAGGAGAGCTACGGGAATATCTTTGCACCTAACCGTGGCGGTCTCAAAAGCCATCATCATCAATGTCTGCATGAAGTTTAGGAACTGGTTTAAGTGTCATCAGTAGATCTCTCCCTTGGCCCAAGCCAGGATGTCAGAACCGTGTTCCACAGGCCACTGCAGAACTAAGTCTAGGTGAGAACGCACAACACAGCCCACTTTCATCACTGAGCCACCAAACAGTGCCACATTCCCTACCTTCTGTGGACGTAGCTGGGACACCCCATAGGACAGTCACTCCTAAGAATCAGGGTGATTCTGGGGGACTGGAGGCTGCGCTGTTACCCTCCATTATATGATCTCTATCTGCATCTCCCTTCACCACTCTCTTATGGCCAGCTGGTACGCTCTCAGCCTTCCACAGAATCTATAAAACCAGCCTCAGAGTCCCCTTTCCATACAGACTCACACTCTGACCGCCTGCCCAACTCGCATTAATTACACTGTGTGGGAGGGACAATTACACTTTGAGAAAACGAGGCACCTGTCTAAGGGAGAGGTGTTCGGTCCCATGTGACCAAAGCAGGGAGGGTTTAACATCAGCTCCTGTGTATTTCAGAGTAGAAGCACTCGGTTGATACAAAGTAAGAGCACCCTGTCAAGCAGGCCCCTGAATGACAGGTGTTCTTGAGAATACTTTTGGGAAATGTGGCTTTTCCCCAGCAGCTCCAGGCAGTCACATATTCCTCACTTTGACAAAGTAGCATTGACTTGAGGCACAACCGTATATACAGCTCTACATGCAGCTGAGCAGTCATAAACACGCCACACAGAGGCATGTCCCAAAGACATTTTCCTTCTCAGATAACAGAGCATTATTTTATATAGAATAACGAACAGTGAAGTCCCACTCAGAATGTAATTAAGCCAGGATCAGAATGCTAGAGCAAACACCAGCCACTGACTATTCTGCTGCTCACCTAAACCTCCATCTGCATTTAATTTTTTTTTCTATTTTTTTTAAATATTTATTTATTTATTATGTATACAATATTCTATCTGTGTGCATGTCTGCAGACCAGAAGAGGGCACCAGACCTCATTACAAATGGTTGTGAGCCACAATGTGGTTGCCGGGAATTGAACTCAGGACCTTTGGAAGAGCAGGCAATGCTCTTAACCACTGAGCCATCTCTCCAGCCCTCCATCTGCATTTTTGTACACCAACCTCTGAGCTTAGATGTGCCCTCTGCCAGCAGAACACAGACCATGAAGATGAGGTCAAGGACAACGCAGCTGCCAGTGATCCCTTAGTTCATGTGCAAGCCCAGTGGAAGAAGTTCCCAACCCCTCATGCTGGTGTCTCTTCTGAGGCCCCAAACTGAGAACCTGGTCGGTGTATCTTACTGGCACAGAGTAAATAAAGGCTTGATGGCAAGCCATACTGCACAGACACATCCCATGGAGGAATGTGTTTGGAATTGGCTGTGAATTTGGGACTTCACTGGTGATAGTAAAAGCTCTATGCAGAAGAGATGCCAACGCTGTTACTAGAACAAAGACACAGCTGCCCAGCTCTAGGAAAGCAGCGAAGGTGAGCAGCGGGCTAACAACAGAGTAAGGGATACAACAGAAGATGCCCCGCCCCCTCAAGGAAAACTGCTGCCTTGCTGCTTTACAGAAAAAGATTCCCCAAATAAGATCTTCTAAAAGAAAGAGCCACCGCTGCATGTGAAGAGGAGTGAGTCCTGGTGGTGCAAGGACCAGGGGTGCCAATTAGGACACCAAGGCTGTATAATACGAAGTTTCAACACCCATCAGCCACTGGGCTCTAGCTGCATCCAGAACTCTTTTCATGTGGCATTTTGAAATACGTGGCTGGAGCTGAGGCAGTAGCTTTCTCTGCTGCAGAGGTCCCGTCTAACCACTCAGAGTGGGGAGGCTTCTGGGCTGGGGTGGCTAGCTCCAACACATCTGGGTGCACTGTGTTTCACAAAAGAAGAAGGAAAGAGAGACGAGTTAGTGTAAGAAATTAGGGTAAGAGGGACATAGAAATACATTTCTTAATCTTTATATTTCATGCCCTATTCACCTAAGTGGCTTCATAAGGTTTACTAATTTCTTCATTAAAAAAAAAGTGGAATTTACAAAATCATTTCTCCAGAAATAAATTCAGTAGAACAGATACAGGAAAACACTAGACCACTTTACTCACGGAGCACACATGTGCCAGGCACCGGGCTGTTGAACATCATGTACTCAGGACTCCCTACCTCACTTCTCCCACCCAGTATGTATGTGTAGTTTTAAAAATAATGTCTTACAATGTAGCCCAAGCTGGCTTCAAACTCATGGTCTTCTTGCCTTAGCCCCTGAGCACTGGGATTATATGCATGTGCCATTACACCTGTACAATATCAAATTTCTTAACAACTGTTAGAAGTAGGCACTGTCATCCCCATTTTATGGATCAGGAAACTAAACTAGAGAGATCAAAAATAGCAATTCAAGCTCAAATACTGGGCTACATTTGCTCCTCAACATGATGATGTTAGAAGTAAACACAATAAGGAGAACAAAAGGAAATAAGCAGCATCAGGCATGGTATTCTAATCAAGTTTCTCAAGACACTCTGGACTGGACAGTCAATGAAGGTACAGAGCCGTGCTGTGTACCCAGAACACTCAGCACTCTGGGCCCTGTCTACCGAATGCCAATAGCAACCCACTTCACCTTTCCAAGTGCCCCTGAGTGGATCAGGACAAACCACCATTCACTCTGCCAAGGGTAAAAATATACTTAGATATAGTAAAATACAGTAGATTCTAGACTTTTCTTTTACATCCACTAAGTCTACCCAATAATATAGCCTTGGTATTTTTCTAATAGTGACTGGGTCACAAAAACAAATACAACAAAAACCACATCACAAGAATAGGAAGGACTTACCCTATTTTATCTTATATCCTCAAATAAACTCAAATGTCAACTTTGTACTGGAAGTTAACATTAGAAATGCTTGAACAACATGACCCTACCTCAGCTTATATATACATTTCTTAAAAACAGTAGCTTTCAAATGTTTTGGCATCTCAACCACAGCAGCACAACACGTATCTGCACACACTTGCACAGCGGTAGTCAGTTGTTCAAGTTTAACTGAAAGGACTTCACAGAACCATCCCTATCCTTACTACATAATCAGAAATCTCAGTGACAGTCTATCCTTGAAAAGCTGTCGGCTGCTGTTGTTTTCTATGATGGTCATTGTTCAACAGCATGGAGTTCAGAGGTGATGTGGAAAGCTCTCATCATCTCCAGTGGAAGCTGTGGAAGCTCTGTGCACTGTCAGCACTAACTCCTCACCCCTTCTCCTCCCAGCCTTGGTAACCACCTCTCTACCTTCTCTTGTCATTAATTTACTATTCAGGTTGCTCATTAAAGTGGAATCATCCACTATTTGTCTTTCTGTGTCTGTCGGGCTCACTCACTGTGCCTTTATCCGAGACAGCAAGGTTCTGAGTGCCAAAGGCTCAAGCTGAGTGACACTCCATGTGTGCAAGAACCACATTTTGTTGCTCACTGGCCACTGACATCTGGGTTGTTCTACCGTTACCAATGTTGTTGCGCACACCAATATAGGAAAACCTCTGCTTTAGGGGCTGGAGAAATGGCTCAGCAGTTAAGGGTACTGGCTGTTTTTATAGAGAACTTGGGTTATTCCTGCCCCCTTCCCCCCTCCCCCGTGGAAGTACACAACGTTAAGTAACTCCAGTTCCAGAGTTATTCAAGACCTTCTGGCTCCTGTGGGCACTGCATGCACATGGTGCATAGACATACATGAAAGTGAAACAGCTATGCACATAAAATGATAATAATTTAATTTTTTTTAATTTCTGCTTTTAATTCTTTAGGTGATATAATGCAGTGAAGAGTTGGGAGATCTCATGGCCTTTTTATGATGGCTGTCTTGAGAAACTGCCATAGATGTACATTTTACATCTTACCAGAAAAGTTCAGGGATTCCAATCACGTCTATGCCAAGGTCCAGTATTGTCTGGTCTCTGAGACCACCATTAAATGAGTGTGAAGTAACCCAGAAGAATGCCTGCACCATCTTCTCCCAGAACACAGTGCTTTTGACAATGGTATAAAATAGGACACAATCCAGTACAATCAAGATCACTGAGCTGTGGCACAGGCCTCCTCATACAAGGGGAAATCATGTGTGACAGTCAAACAAAGAGGATTTCTTTTTTTTCGAGACAGGGTTTCTCTGTGGCTTTGGAGTCTGTCCTGGAACTAGCTCTTGTAGACCAGGCCGGCCTTGAACTCACAGCGATCAGCCTGCCTCTGCCTCCCGAGTGCTAGGACTAAAGGCGTGTGCCACCACCGCCGGCCAAACAAAGAGATTTTGCACAACAAAATCTCAGAAACAGAACTGGGTGAATCTTATAAAATATAAACTCTTTTGTGCAAGGTTCAGAAACATTTAAAAAAGCAGACAACATATCCTTTAGAGATACATCTATCTGTTAAAACTACTTTAAAGACAAAAGCGATGATCAAAACAAAACGAGACAAAAATGTACAAAAACTGTCCCCAGTGAAGAAAATGTCCCCACTCTTTTCAGTGGGAACAGTTTTCGTACTAGCCGTATTATTTTCTTTTACACCTTATGTATCAATATTCTTTTATAGCAATTAGATATTTTCCAAGGGGTTAGAAAAATATGGAGAATACTGCCACGACTTTAAGATAATTTTATTTAGATACATTGGAGCTAGACGCCCCATGGTCAGTTCTCTCACATTCTGATGATCTGTTAGTTTTGACTAACTGGAAACAGAGCTTCACTGGTAATGGCGGAGAGCCACACTTATCTGTGGGTAGAGGAAAAGTATTAAGAATGCACTGGTTTAACAGAGTGACAACAGTAGGTTCCTTCTAGGCTCCATGACCTCACCAGTCATGTGTAGTTATCTAGGTTGAGAACACCAGGCATGAATTTCTTCCTATTGACCAGGCCTTAAGACCAGTCAGTCAGACAGCTGTTGGTTATTCCCAAGATATGAGCACCATTACTGCACTGCTGTGATATCGTGTAATGGTTACTATGTACAACACGACTCCTTCATCTAAGGCTTAGAGACTAATGAGAAGGTGGAAGACCACAAGAGCTAGAAGACCGGGACATCTGCTGTGAGATTACAACTTCTATATAAGAGAAGGAAGCTACACCCATAAAATATCAGCAATATGGCTGCCTAAATAAGACCTGAACAATGACAACACCAACTGTCATGGCAACATGGATAGAAGCCAAAGGCCCCATCCCAAGATGAAGAACTACAAAATTAATGATTGCTGAGAGACAGATAATTAGTCTCCCCCAGGGATGAGACCCTTAAGTGGTTATCCAATAGCAAGTGATCAGTCCTAAAAACTTGTACGTATGAGCAACTCTAAATGGACTCAATTGGTTATAATATTTATATGTATTTTATACATGTCACAATAATAACTAAGGAAACAACAATATGTAAAAGTAAGTGCTCAGGGGTAAAGAAGGGGAATGGTGGGAGGGAGAGAAGTAAATGATGGAGACTGAAGATGAACGAAGCGTATTATCTACAGACATGAGGTGTCATAGTGACAACCATTAGTTTCATAAATGCTAATAAAAATAAAAAAAGAAGTGAGTCTGCCCTATTGTTAGGTGAATTTTTAGATGTTGGGAGATAGCAGTGAACAAACAGATTAAAATTCCCACCTATCTGAACACATGGCTGGCTTAGTGCTCAGAGACCATCTGTGATACAGCTTCTGAATGACGGTTGTAATCCTGGGGAATGCAAAGTTGGAAAAAGACTTTAGGAATAGCCCAAACTATCCAGGCTCTGAATGGAATCTTCAGTGGCCCCAGATCCCCTATTCTAAACACCAGGGTTTACCTTCAGGAGGAGAAGTCTGAATGTCAAGGCTCTGATGAAGAAAATCACATCAAGCACACTGGTTCAATATGAGCCTGAGTGCCTTACTTTTTTTTGAGACAGTTTCTCTATAGCTTTGGAGCCTGTCCTGGAACTAGATCTTATAGATCAGGCTGGCCTTGAACTCACAGAGATCCGCCCATCTCTGCCAGGATCCTGAGTGCTGGGATTAAAGGTGTGCGCCATCACCGCCTGGACTGCCTTACATTTCTTATAGCCACTTATTCTCAAGTTTTGAAGAAAACAGTCACACACCCGCCAAAAAAGAAATAACAGGGTGGCTGGAGAGATGGCTCAGAGGAATAGAGAACTGGCTGCTCTTCCAGAGGTCCTGAGTTCAAGTCCCAGCAACCACATGGTGGCTCACAACCATCTGTAATAAGATCTGGTGTCCTCTTCTGTACTGCAGGATACATGAAGGAAGAAACCTATATATACATAATAAATAAAAATCTTATTTAAAAAAAACAAATAAAAAAAAAGAAAGAAATACATTCTTTAAGAGCCTAATACAGCTAGCTAGGTCACTTTAGCATGTGGTAGAGGCTTTCTGGAAATTCCTGTCCTGGGATACCAGTCTTAGAAAAGGTCTACACACTTACTCACTGGGATCCAGGGAGCAATACTGTGTGCTAAACTTCTGCATGCTATAAAGCCAGGGAGGGAAGGGACATGGAGACATAAACAAGAAAATAACAGTGCTATAGTTCAAGAAGGCACTACTTAAGGGCTGGAAGGGTCCTTTCCCCAGCCCTTTGTACTACTAAAGCAAACAAACAAATAAACCAAGGAAGACGTGTGTATCTCTTCCTTTCTTCACCCCCTAGCCTTGCTAAGATCTTTAAATTCAGTCAATTTCAACTCAAAACTTTCTACGGGTGGGGGAAGGGCAGAGATTTGTAGCTGCATGCTTAAGAAAGAAGCTGAATTCATCACAGTGACAGGGGAGAGTGTTGGCAGAGATCTGAGCTATTTATTCTTTTAGGAAAATCCTATAAAGAATGACACAAGGAAGCCTCTATCTGCAGTCTTGTTCATCACACTGGTGAAGAGCTGATAACAGATGTATGCAGTTGTGTGATTTAGTGCCAGGAGCTGGCCCCTGATGTGTATTAATACAGCGGCAAAGCGGGACGCACCTCTCTTCATCACTCATTTCTATAAAAGAGGTGGAATCGGAGATGGCCCGATGGTAGGCAGAGCAAGCCCATTTGTTCTCCTGACTGATGGCACAGGCTCAGGCTGTGTCCTTCACCTCCATGGGGCACTCGGGTTGTGAGCAGAAAAAAAAGAAAGTGCTCAGTGAAGCAGGGCTTAGTCAACAAGTGAGAGCCCAGGAGTGGGCTCCCGTGGAAACAGCTAATGTCTTCTTCAATACACTACATACAATTCCTGCTCTGAATGTGAAATCAGCTCTTCCCAATGGTTCTAATCTCATCAAGCATTAAGTAGGGCTGGGGTTGTAGCTCAGCAGTAGAGCGTTTGCCAACAGACACGAGAGCCTAGGTTTGATCCCCAAAACTGGGGGGGGGGGGGGGGTGGAATAAGAGGAAAAAATAGGACCAAAGAGGGAAAAATAAAATAAAAGCTAAGAGAAAAGGTTTCGTTTTAATTCTTTAAATAGTACAGACTAGTTGAAGAGCCGAGTTTCAGAGTCTGGAATAATCGATCCTACTGTGCATACAAAGGACACCTGGAGGTTTAAAGGGCCAATCTAGAGCATCGGGGAAACATCTGCCCTGACCCTGGAACTAACACTTGACTTCAGAAGGTTATACCTCAGTCTGCTCATTGTCAATGGAATAGCAAGAACTGCATCCATCCTGGACAGCTGAGGCAGAGGTGCACACAAAGTGCCTAGCTCAGAGCCTCTGCAGATGGAAACCACTATAAAAATTCACACAATCATTAAGTCTGTGATTAAGATTGTTCAGATGAGCCACCGATTAGCAGTCACCCCAAATAGAAGCTCCAAGAGGTCTATTTCAGGGTATTTGAACAATCGCACGGGGAAGGAAGGGGGCTGGGCCCACACTTGTCTGGTCTCTGCCTTCACTCAGCTAAGTGACCTGAAATGTGTGATGCGTAGCACAGGGTAAGTTCTGATCAAGCTCTTTAGGTTCAGAAGTGCTTTGGGTTTAGATTGGTTCGTTTCACAAATACCTGAAAGGTCACACACATGCTATTTTACTGTGCTTGCTTCTGACTGCAACTCACCCCACACAGTCAGGTAGAGAATCTACTAACACGCGCATGTCAGTACTCCAAAGTTTCATACGTTCAATTGCTTAAGATTTTGGATTTTAAATTAGGGATGTTCAATCTATAGTTTACCTAAGAAAAGTAATTTACAATAGGTTTGATACGTAATACCTTTGATAACATGTGAGATATATATATACCTTAAGTGCACAGAACTTTTACATATATATAAATGCCCATGTTACCCCTGCCTGATTTGTAGTGGAGAACATTTCCAGAGACCCAGATTTTTCTGTGTCTTCTCTTGGTCACTCTCCTATCAAAGATAGTCACTATTTTAGCTTCTACTAACTGGCAAGAATTTTATATAGAAACTAAAAAAGTTTAACCTGAAAATGTTTTTAATTAGACATCTCATGATGAGTAAAAATGAACACACTATTACACATAACCAATGAGAATACAATGTGCCATATAAATCAACTAAGAAAGTGAACAGAGCCAGGTGTGGTGGTGCACGCCTTTAATCCCAGCACTTGGCGAGGCAGAGGCGGGTGGATCTCTGTGTGTTGAAGGTCAGACTGGTCTATAATCTCCACAGTGAGAGCTATATAGTGAGGCACTATCTCAAAATAGCCAAGGGAGGGAAAGAAGGAGGGAGGGACAGAGGCGACAGTGGAGAGATGATGGATCAGTGGTTAAGTGCACTGGCTACTCTTCCAAAGGTTCAGGTTCTATTTCTAGCACCCACTTGATGGATTCTAATCATTTATAACTATAGTCCTAGGAAATTCAATACCCTTTTCTGGCTTCCATAGGCACCAGGCACACACACTGTATACAGATACACAAGCAAGTAAAACACTAATATATGTAAAATAAAAATTGCTATTTTATTTTTATTTATTTACCTTTGTTTATTTTTCAAGACAGGATTTCTGTGTTGCTCTGGCTGTCCTGAAACTCCAGACCGGCTTTGAACATACAGAGACCAACCTGCCTCTGCCTCTTGAGTATAAGTATTAAAGGTGCCTGGCCATAAAAATTATTTTTAAAGCAGAAATTAAATGAACCCAGATAACCTCTGACTACTGAGCAAACTGCTATCCAGCTGGATGTTTATCAGCGTGGACCTCACCTGCTGTCTGTGCTACAGAGAAGGTTCACATGACTGGGAACAGCTGGCAGGAATACAAAGGCCAAGGGAGAATGAAAATGCAGACTCCACAGTCAGAGAGAACTGGGGAAATTACTTCTCAGCATCTCAATTTCTTATGATAAGGAATACAGATCACTTATCATGATTCCATGGGAAGGTATATAAAACAATCATTTAGTGTTCAGTACACAACAGGTGCTCTACGAATGACAACTATATATAATCACCTGTCCTAGAGCTAGGTAAAGATGCTGAGGCCACAGGCTTCCGTTTCCTCTTAATGTCACGTGAACATGGTGGTCCCCAGTGTACCTTTGCCTGCCTGCAGAAACGAAAGGAGAAAGAAGATGTTTACTTTGTGGTACTTGTTGTAAGACACTGTACTGTCCAGACGAAATCTTTGACTCATATAGATGTATGGCAACAAAACAGGCATCATCTTTTGCCACTAATCACTACAGTCTCTGGACAGATTCGGAATTAAGCAAAGCCCACAATACATGGCACTCTCAACTTTTTACCAGATTTCAAAGAAGCAGATATTTAAGTTTCAATAAATATGTGTTTCATTATGTGATTTTTTTATACAATGCTTTCACATGAAAACTCTAACTGCAACTGAGCTAAATTCACTAATGAAATACCTATTCCATATGATAATGCATCAAAAGGGTTAATGCCCTTCCTGTGAACAGAGACATTTACACAGAATTATAATAAGTTAATTCTGCTGCCACTAGACAATCTGGATTTAAAAATGTTTATTTTTTATATATAAGGGTTTTGTCTGCAAGTATATATGTATATCCTGTGTGTGCATGATGCCTGTAGAGGCTGGAGAGGGTTCGGATCCCCTGGAACTGGAGTTCCAGACAGTTGTGAGCCACTCTGTGGATACAGCAAGTGTTCTTAACCACTGAATCAACTCTCTAGCCCTGATAATCTGGATTTTTAATATGTGTTTATATCACAAGTTAAATATTTGGTTCCTGTGACTTTCAAAGATATAAATTATGTATCAATAACATGTTTCACTGCTAGGATATTCAGTTTATTTCACAAGTAACGCACCCAAATGCTCTACCCTAGAAAACAGATTCTCTGGAAAACAACAAACTTAAGACTGAAATAGCCGACACAGTATCTTAGTTCCCCAAGTCCCTGACTTCCTCCTTTTCTGCAGTCTGGACAGACTGCCCCTGATCAAGCTGACTATCACTTTTATACAAAGCTTTCCTTGAACTCTGCAGGGATTACATGCCACGAATCACTATCTGACTGGTGAACATACATCATGCTTCCCTAATGAGGCTTAATCTCCTTGAGATTAAGAACTGGAGTCCTGAGAGCAGGGGCCATGTTGACACTCCTTTCTTAATTATTCAATGATCTACCAACCTCAGCACAGGGAAGGAGATGGTCCTTATTAAGTATATGGCAGCCAGAACTTATAGGAATAAGAATTTTAAAAATCAAATGGTACGGCGGGCAGTAGTGATGCATGCCTTTAATCGCAGCACTCGGGAGGCAGAGACAAGTGGATCTCTGTGAGTTTGAGGCTAACCTGGTCTACAGAGCAAGTTCTAGGACAAGCTCCAAAGTTACACAGAGAAACCTTGACTCTGGGAAAACAAAACAAAACAAATGGTAGAAAGAATGAACCCTAAAAAGTCGCTACAAATAGCAAATTTTATGTTATTTATATTCTGGCACAATTATAAAATAAACAGCTATAACCCATTAAAGAAACAGACGTAGAGCTGGAGAGGAAGATCAGGAGTCAAGAGCACTTGCTATCCTTACAAAGAATCAAAGTTCTATTCCCAGTACCTACATTAGGTGTCTTATACCTGCCTGTACTTTCACCTCCATGGGATCCAGGGCCCTCTTCTGGCTTTCATGGATACCCACATATATATGTGTGCATGTGCCCGCACACATGTCTGGTGTAGCAGAACACCAAAGGTACACAGGATTTCTGTCTGGATGGATGGACAAATGCCTTGATGCCAAGACTTAGGAAAAGGAAGTAACACTACAGTATTGTGTTTCTGATCCAGAGACATGTACAGGCCAGTGTTCCACCTCTCCACGGGCAAGGGCCCTAACTGGGTCATGCTCTGCCACAGGGACTTCGGGTGTGCATTTGCCATCTTTTCTCTTCACTGTAAGCTTATTCAAAAACAAACACGACAGTACACATGAGGGACCTCAAAAATTCTATGAGGTAACTTCTACAGCTAAGAAATACCTTCAGTGAAGTGGCTGGATACAAAATAAACTAAAAATAAAAATTTAGTAACCCTCCTATATACAAATGACAAATTGACTGAGAAAAAAAAATTAGGGAAACAACACCCTTCACAATAGCCACAAATAATATAAAATATCTTGGTGTAATTCTAACCAAGCAAGTGAAAGACCTGTTTGGCAAAAACTTAAGTCTTTGAAGGAAGAAACTGAAGAAAATATCAGAAAATAGAAATATCTCCCATGCTCATGGATTGGTATGATTAACATATTAAAATGGCCATCTTACCAAAAACAATCTACAGATTCAATGACATCTCCATCAAAATTACAACATAATTCTTTACAGAACTTGAAAGAATGATACTCAACTTCATATGAAAAAAAACAAAAAAACCTAGGATAGCTAAAACAATACTGTACAATAAAAGAACTTCTGGAGGTATGAACATTCCTGATTTCAAGTTCTACTACAGAGCTATAGCAATAAAATCCGCATAGTATTGGCATATAAACAGGCAGGTTGATCAATGAAACTGAATTAAAAACCCAGACATAAATCCTCATATCTATGGACATCTGATTTTTGATAAAGAAGTCAGAAATATATAACGGAAAAAAAGAAAGCATCTTCAACAAATGGTGTTGGATCCCAGCATGTAGAAGAATGCAAATAGATCCAAATCTATCACCCTATACAAAACTAGAGTCCAAACGGATCAAAGACCTCAACATAAACCAGATACACTGAACCTAACAGAAGAGAAAATGGGGAACAGCCTTGAACAAACTGGCACAGGAGAAAACTGAGCAAAACACCAACAACACAGGCACTAAGATCAACAATTAATAAATGGTACCTTATGAAACTGAAAAGCTTCTGTAAGGCAAAGGACACCATCAAAAGGACAAAATGGCAGCCTACAGAATGGGAAAAGATCTTTACCAACCCCACATCTCACAGAGGGTTGATTTCCAAAATATATAAAGACCTCAAAAAACGAGCTATCAACAAACCAGATAAATTCAATTCCAATAACCCAATTCAAATCCAATTTCAATTAAAAAAAAACAGGGTACAGATCTAAACAGAGAATTCTCAACAGAGGAATCTCAAATGGCCAAGAAGCATTTAAAGAAATGGTCAACATACTTATCCATCAGAGAAATACAAATCAAAATGACTCTGACATTCCATCTTACACTTGTCAGAATAGTTAAGATGAAAAACACAAGTATGTTGACCAGTCAATGCTGACAAGATATAGAGCAAGGGAAACACTCCTCCACTGCTGGTGGGAATAAATGCAAACTTGTACAGTCACTTTGGAAACCAGCAAGGTGGTTTCTCAGAAAATAGGGAAACGACCTACCTCAAGACTCAGCATATATCCAAAGTATATTCAATCATACCACAAGGACACTGGTTCAACTATGTTCATAGCAACTTCATTCGTAATAGCCAGAAACCAGAAACAACCTACATAGATGTCCATCAACTGAAAAATAGATTTAAAAAAAAAAGTGGTACATTTACACAAAGGAGTATTACTCAGCTGTTAAAAACAATGAAATCATGAAATTTGCCAGAAAATGGATGGAACTAGAAAAGAAAAGATTATCCCGAGTAAGGTACCCCAGACCCAGAAAGACAAACATGGAATGTACTCACAGGTGGATATTAGTCATAAAATAAAGCATAACCATGCTACAATCCATGGGTCCAAATAAGCTAAGTAACAAGGGGGAAGGACTCAAGAGGAAACACAGGACTCTCACTGTGAAAGGGAAATAGAATAGACCTCACAGGTGGATGGGGGCGGGAGGTACATAGATGGTGGGGAGGGCATGGGAACAGAAAGAGGGGAAGGATGGAGGGTGAGAGTACTAGGAAAGACAACTGGAATCAGGAGCATCTTTGGGATGAGCTAGAAACTCATGTGCAATGGAAACTCTCAGGAATTTATGAGGGTAACCCCTGGCTAAGACTCCTAGCAATGGGAGATGCAGAGCCTGAACTGGCCATCTCCTGTAACCAGGCAAGATTTCCAATGGAGGGACTGGGACCGCAAGCCAGCCCCATTATTTTTTGACCTATAATTTGTCTTGCCTACAAGATATGCTGGGGTAAAGGTGGCACAGAAATTATAGCAGTGATCAACCAATGACTGGTCCAGCCTGAGACCCATAGCAGGGGAGGAAGCCCACCTCTGACAATGCCAGGAGGGCCAGGACCCAGAAGCTGGATAGCCCAGAGACCTAGGATAGAACCAAACATGACCAGAAAAAAATAGTCAATAAAATGATTCTTAACAATATTCTGCTGTACTCATAGATCTGGTGCCTCATCCAATTGTCATCAGAAAGGCTTCAGCCAGCAACTGATGAGAGCAGATGCAGACACCCACAACCAAACATTAGGTGGACCTCAGGGAATCCTGTGGAAAAGGGGGAAGAAGGATTATGGAGCCAGAGGGGTAAAGGAAACCACAAGAAAATCCACAGAATCAACTACCTTGGGCTCAGAGGGGCTCATAGAGACTGCACTGCCAACCAGAGAGCTTGTGCAGGACTGACCTAGGCCCTCTGCGCATCTTACAATTGTGTAACTTCTTCTTCTTGTAGGGCTACTAACAGTGGGAGCAGGGGCTGCCTTCCCTCCTATTAGGTTGCCTCATCCAGCTTTAACAGAAGAGGAGGTGCCTAGTCTTACTGAAATTTGACATGCCATAGCTGGCTGATATACAAGGGGGAGGGTGCTGTCCTTTTCTGAAGAGAAAGGAGGAGTAGATGGGGAAAGGGACTGGGAGGAGAGGAGGGAGGAAGGAAGGGGAAACTGTAATCTGACTAGGAAAATAATTAATTGATTATTTAACTTTAAAAAGATAAAAATAAAGTTTATTTCAACCAACAAACCTATCTCTGGTAAGAAAAAAAAAACAAGCAACAACAACAAAAAACTCACCAACTTCCTTCTCAGAGTAAGTATTGGGAGCAGTACTTAGGCCAGGACAGTAGGGAATGGGAAGAGAGATAGGAGAGAGAGGGGCAAGGGATTCTGGGCTTCTTCCT